AAATGAGCAGAGGTTAGTATGGAGGGAAAAAACAGAGGTTAGTATTATCTTTGGAAGTGTATTTTTCATGTTTGTTAAAGACCCTTGAAGATTACGCCTAAGGCCGATGTACCTCCAAACAGCTTTGGGTTAACTGTGGTGACAATCATCACTGAGTGCATGGTTCTGCTTGAGCTAAGATGAGCACGGAAAGTTGCCGCTGCGTCATCCCATAGAGAAAGGTAGACGGTCACAGATCTACCAAGATAGGTCTACGAATGTAAGGATTTAGTGGAAGACATATAGTATTGGACAATGGTACGTTGTAGAGAGTAATCTGGGCTTACGTATCGACCAGGAATCGGACAACCAATCGCTGTTTGGAAGTAGCATCATCAAGGTCGGACCCTTGGACGAAGCGGATTTGGCCAACAACATCTGCGGTGGGTGTTATTGTTAGCGGTAGATTTGTATGCTTAATGGTGAAACATTAGAGGTGGAGATGGTGGGTAGAGAAAATCACCAGGGAGTTCGAGGTTGGTGTTAGCCAGGGCGTGGAGGTGGTCGATTTTGCGGAGCATGAATTTCTCCTTCTGAATTGTTGGGGCAGCATCAGGTAGTTCAANAATTGTTGTGGTTNGGAGGAACCGAATGACCAANGGATGGTCAGTGATCTTGTAAAGGTTGGTGCACCGTCCCACTTNGAACATGCCAAGGTTGAAAATNGCCCCTTCTTGTAACTCATGGCGGAATTGAGTAGCACATGAAGCGGNAATGAANCAGTGGATCACCGAGTTCTGGAGAACAAAGAAAGAAGAGATTATGGTTAATGTGTAGTCTTTCTATTAAGATATGGGTAAAGTTTGTCGGAGGTGTTACCTTCTCATCGAGGAGGANGAAGACGATTCCCATGAATTCGCCATTCTTCTTGACGTTGCGAGCATCCCAAAAACGGAGGAGACGACCAACAACCTGTTGGGTTGAACGACCAAGACGTAACTCATCAAAGGTAGCGTAGTTAGCCTGGGAAGGGATTGCAACAAGATCAAGTTGAGCCATTCTGAAAGAGATTGAGAGCAGAAGAGATTTCGAACAACGATAAGGTAAACAATTGGAAGGTTTCTGAGAGTTGAAAGGTTTATGAGAGGTGGGAGTGCTGATCTGCTATGAAGTGAGGTCAATTTATAGTTTTTTTCACTGTGGACGCTGAAACGGCCGGATGAAGACATTCAAATCGGAAGAGGAAGGTTGAAGGTAGGGGCGAGTGAATGTTNGAGAGGATTGAAGGTAGTAGTTAATGAGAGGGGGTGGAGTGGTGGGGGGGGTGTTTTAAATGGCCTATAACGGCTGATGATTGAAGACGCGAAGGAGATTGATGAAGAGAGGTAACGGCTGATGATTGAGATCGTAATAGGGTTTCTAGAGTCGTCGTCGGGTGGATTGAAGAAGCGAAGGAGATTGATGAAGAGAGGGCCAGATTTGGTGTATTAGATTGGGCCTTATATAATCGATTATATGGGCCAATATGTTAGCAGTTTTGAAGATTGGTATTAAAAGTGGGTTTCTTTTTGATGCACATTTTTCTTCATCTGTGTGAAGATTTTTTCATCTGTGTGAAGATTTGCACACGATTGGTATTAAAAATGGGACCCAGGGTGATGCATAATTTCGCTGATGTGGATAGCCTCAATGGAGAGAAAAGAGTCTCATTATATAATAGATTGTAAACGTTTAACTTCATCATATTAACTAAAAAAATGCATAATAAATAACGAACCGAAAAAATGGTGAAACTAAACAATATTCCTAGTTTCTATCCGTTTTTGTAAAACTAAACAATTACACAAGTGGTATGTCACCCTTTAGAATCATAATTGCAAAGAAACAAATGATTTTAATGTTAAAAAAAAAAGAAACAAATAATTCCACAGCTCAATTCCACCAATCAGCTCAATTCCACCAATCTTCAGTCACCATCCTATGTTTCACGTCCATCGTAAATAGTCATAGTACTAAGTTTGTCGGGACAGCTGTCTTGAAGTAACTAATTTTTTATTGACCTTTGCTTACAAAATCTCGTGTCTTAGAGCATCCACATTGGTAATAAAATGTGGGTGTCTTTAAATATAAAATTATTAAAATTTGAGTAAAAGGAAGAAAGAGAGTGTTTTTTGTTGAAATAGTGTGGTGTATTGAAATATAAAATTAATAAAATTTGAGTAAAGAGAAGAGATAGTGGGTATTTTTGGAGAGATTGTGTCTTGGGAAAGACATAAGAGAGAGAGAATTGGGGTGTGTTTAAAT